AGGATGTGATCTATTCTGGAGAATGTTCCATGTGCCCTAGAGAAGAATGTGTATTCTGTTGCTTTGGGATGGAATGTTCTGAATATATCTGTGAAGTCCATCTGTTCCAGTGTATCATTTAAAGTTTTTATTTCCTTGTTGATCTTTTGCTTAGATGATCTGTCCATTTCAGTGAGGGGGGTTGTTAAAGTCCCCTACTATTATTGTATTGTTGTCGATGTGTTTCTTTGATTTTGTTATTAATTGGTTTATATAATTGGCTGCTCCCATGTTAGGGGCATAGATATTTAAAATTGTTAGATCTTCTTGTTGGATAGACCCTTTAAGTAGGATGTAGTGTCTTCCTCATCTCTTATTATAGTTTTTGGTTTAAAATCTAATTTGTCTGATCTAAGGATTGCCACCCCAGCTTTCTTTTGGTGTCCATTAGCATGGTAAATGGTTTTCTACCCCCTCACTTTCAATCTGGAGGTGTCTTTGGGTCTAAAATGAGTCTCTTGCAGACAGCATATTGATGGGTCTTGTTTTTTTATCCAATCTGCTACCCTGTTACATTCAGGGTAACTATTGAAAGATATGAATTTAGTGCCATTGTATTGCCTGTAAGGTGACTGTTACTGTATATTGTCTCTGTTCCTTTCTGGTCTGTTACTTTTAGGCTCTCTCTTCACTTAGCGGACCCCTTTCAATATTTCTTGTAGGGCTGGTTTCGTGTTCACAAATTCTTTTAGTTTTTCTTTGTCCTGGAAGGTGAAATTAATTTTAATGTTCTATTTAACTCAGAATATCCAACGTATCATTTCAGTGTGTACTGAACATAAAATCATTAGTGAAATATTTCACATTCTTTATTTTATTTAGTCTTCAAATTCGGTGTTATTTTACTTACATAACATCTCAGCAGGGATTGGCCACATTTCAAGTGCACATGCCACCGGCTGCCTCCTGGCCCCATTTTGCAGAGACAACCAACTTGTAGGTCAAATGAACTTTTCACTCCCCACCCCACCCTCAACAGCCCCCACCACTTCCTTGAGCTTCAAGAGCAATCCCTCCCTCAGTGGCCTTCTGCTTACTACTTGCCAGTGGGGGCCACAGGCAGGCCAGGCCAGTGGGGAGGCCGCCCAACCCCATGATGGAGGCAGGAGGAAGTGCCCAGTGGAGAGGGCTTCCAATGTTAGGTGCACTCAGCTCACAGCTCTCCTTGGGGTACCCCAGGGGGAAGATCTCCTGGTCAGGAGCTCAGAACTCATCTATTCCGGGGAGCTGACTCGTGTTACACAGCCACAAGCCAAGAGCCAGCAGAGGATGTTTTTTCTCTTTGACCACCAGCTCATCTACTGCAAGAAGGTACCAGAATTGCTGTGCCCTGCTGGATGAGCCATTTAGAGCAGGAGTAGAGGGGGTGAAACTGAGGGCTGGGAGTAGCTGCCAAAGAAAAGGAGCCACACACAGGTGGTTCCTTTTCCTGGGGACCTTCAGTGGAGCAGGCCCTTTGAGGTGATTCTTTGCAGAGGGAGCCAAATAGCCCAAGGACCATGGCAGTCTGACCAGGGCCCAGTGTTGTTGAGAATACCTTCCTGCTTGACCTAGGCTCTGCTTGCTTCTAAAGCCACCTCTACTGTCCCTGCAAATCTCAGCTCCCCCTGAGCCCTGGGGTCCTTGCTCCCACTGCTGCTTCTTTGCTGTAGCTTCTACTCCTCTCAACACGTGGCCCAGGTGGCTTTGTCGAGGAAGCCTGCCTGGCTGCTGGCCCTGGGCCCAGCCTGGTAGGCCTGGTACTCTTCTCTGTCATGCAGGGTGGGCCCTGGGCCACTGTTTCCATGGCCTGCCTCCCCACGAGACTATGGGTACCCTAAAGACCCTCCAGGCCAGTCAGTAACTGAAGGCCAGCTCCTTCGCTGAAGGAGTGAGGCTCCTGCATCATGGCTTCAGCACACAGTTGTGGGCCACACCACACTCACTCTGCCCTCATGAGCCCACCATCTGCTTGGAAAGTGGGTGAGCAGCCCACTGGCCCTTCCAATTGCAGGGTGCGGGGTGAAGCATAAACATGGTCAGGAGAGTGGTTTGGAGGCCTGGGAGGGACCCAACAAGCAGGATAGGCCAGGAGCTCAGAGAGTCTCTGGCAGGATCTTCTCCGCCGGGATGTGCTGTACTATAAGGGCCGAGTGGATATGGATGGACTGGAGGTGGTGGATCTGGAGGATGGAAAAGACAGAGACCTCCACATGAGTGTCAAGAATGCCTTCCGGCTGCTCTGCGGCACCACGGGAGAGAGTCACCTGCTGTGTGCCAGGAAGCCTGAGCAGAAACAGCGCTGGCTCAAGGCCTTCGCCAGAGAGAGGGAGCAGGTGCGACTGGACCAGGAGACAGGTGCGAGACGCCATCAGCCTTGCTCCACTGTGAGGGCCCACCCAGCCCTCCTAACCCCTGAACACGAGGTCAGGAGAACCTTGACACTGTGAGACAGCATGTCCCACCGCCTAAGGGCCTCAGGTTTTGGCAAGGGTCCAGGGCACCTCTTCATTTCAGCCCCAGGGCATGGGTCTCCTGGCCTGTTGGGGGTTTGCTTCCAGAACACTCACATATGCACGCACACTTCATAAGGTGGGGGCCCTCTGCTCAGTTGCAGAGACCCGGTGAGGCCTCTTTCCAGCACAAAGCATTCAAGTAGGATTTGGGCACTGGCTGTGAGAAGCCTCCCCCACCCCAGCATAAGGCACCTTCCCACTGCATTCCTCTCCTCTCCGTGGGCCCCTGGGCATCATGCTCAAGAGTGACCAGATCGGCTCTTGGTCTGGGAAAGCCACAGTGGAGAGAAAGGATACTAGATGCTGGATACATCAGGGATTGGGTCAGGGTGAGAGATGGGATAGGGCAAGGATGTGGGGAGGGCCCTTGCACATCTCCTCTGCCTGGCTGGTCAAGGCAGGCTGGCTGAGCAGAATGCCGAACATCTGCAGCATGATGAGATCCCAGGCCCTGTGGGAGGTGCAGGGTTCACAGAGGACCACACAGATGCCAGGAGACACAGGGCAAGAGGAATTATTGGCTGGGGAGGTGGGGGAGGGGGAAAGGCAGCCAAGTCCTCAAGGTAAGCAGAGGTCTCATTTGTGGCCCTCCCTCCCAGGCTTCTCCATCACCGAGCTGCAGAGGAAGCAGGCCATGCTGAATGCCAGCAAGCAGCAGGCCACTGGGAAGCCCAAAGGTAAGCGGATGGTTCCCTGCCTCCTCCCATAGCAGCCTGGCCCTAGCCATGATCAAACTCTTCTCTGACCCCCAAAGGCAGCTAGCTCCTGGGGCCCACGTGCTGCCCACTGCGCTTTGCAGGTAATTGTTCCCAAAGATTGGTGTTGAGGCCACTGGTAACAAAGCTTTTGTCGGTGTGCAGTTGATGTTGCTCTCAATTCCCTTGGGTACCCCAGAGCAGGAACATTAGTGGAAGTGCACCTCCCCAGGCAGGATTTCTGGGAGGCCTTGTTCAGTCACCGGGCAAGGAGCTTCTTACAGAGATGTTAAATGCCTGGCATGCAGCCTGTTCCATGGAGGAGCTCCAGAGCCCCCACACCATCTCTGTAGGCTAGCGGGTGGCCCAGGCCACTAGGTGTGGTGGGCCGCATAGGAAGGCAGTTCCCTCCCGTGGGACAGGCCCCATCCCACCCCCCTACTGAGCAGAGGCTGCCGCTCTGCCCTGTGCCATCTGGCGACCTAGGCACCTATGATCCCTGCTTTCTTCTGCCCAGCCCTCAGCCGGCCCTACTACCTGGCACGCCAGAAGCACCCGGCTCTGCCCGCCAGCCTGCCCCAGCAACAGGTCTTGGTACTGGCAGAGCCCAAGCGAAAGCCATCCACCTTCTGGCACAGCATTAGCCGGCTGGCACCCTTCCGCAAGTGAGCCAGCTCCCCATCCGACAGCACTGTCTGGACCTAACCGCCAGTGGGCCTCCAGCTTTTTCTCCCCAAGGCCCACCGCATGTGGCCTCCTCTGCTGGTCACGCACACTGGAAGTTACGGACTGAGCGAGGGAGCTGCTCGGCGCCCCATTCGTGGATTCTCCCCCACTACTGGTGCACTGAAGACACCAGCTGGAGGGGCAGGGGCCCACAGCGGTGAGCCTCCCACCACCCTCTGGACCTCTGTGGGGCCTCCTGGGAGCCACAGCTCAGAGCCACCGGCCAGGCCAGTGTGTAGAAAACTGGCTGCTCTGAATCCTCTTCTCTGGACATCTGATCATCCCTCCTGTTTCCTCTGAGCAGGGGACCATCTGCCTTTAGCCCCTGCAAAGTTGGGCTCTGTGCCCCCTGCCCTCCAATTGTCCCTCAGGCCCCCAGTCCCCAGCTGGTGGTGCCAGGCAACTTGCATCCCTGGAGGGTGGGAACCAGAATTCTCTGCACAAAAATGTCTGGCCCAGAGCCAACTCATTTTTGCCTCCCAGCCCCTCTAGGCACTCCTGGCTGCTGGACACCCTTCCTCACTTGTGATGTGTTTATAGTGGAAAGAAAATAAAACCATAGTCACTGCATACTTCCGTCAGGGTTTGTGACCAGTCCACGTGTAGTTGTGGGTTGACTCCAGAACCTGGTCCCGGTTTTTTTGTTTGGATTGTGCTGTTTTTCTAACAATGGGGAGAAAGAATTGTTATCAGTGACACAGAAAGATTGCCTTACCCTAAGTGAGCATGAGAAGCCATAAGGACTGAATTCTGTGGCCCAGCATCCAGGACTGACCCACCAACCCAGAGGCCGGTGGACATGTGAGTTAGAGGGAAGCCCATGTCCCGCTGAGAAGGGTTCCCCATGAGTACAGGCAGGACCTGGCCTGCGGGTGTGGAACACTGAGCTGCCCCTCTGGCCCACGGGAATTCAGCAGCATGTACAGTCAGCCACTCTTGCACTATACCTTCTCCAAGCCAGAAACCACATTTAATTTCATAAAGAAACTTATGAAAAATAACCTGGCTGCCAGCCCTTGTTTTTCCATTTGTGTCTGTGTATTTTCTTCTTTGCATGCCCCATCCTTCCTGTACCTCTTGTACCTGTCTCTGCCCTGGGCCTTTCCTTCAACAGAAAGGAAGAGCCCAGCATCACCCAGTGCGGTGGGAGCTCACTTATCTGCAGACCATGCCCTTCAGAGCTTTGGTGGACAGAAACAAAGGTGATGGGGGAAGTACTTCAGAGGCTTAGACGGAGCTGGGAGGACAATGTGTGGCCTGGGAGCTGTCCTGGTGTGGGATATAGCTGGCCCAGCTCCTCCAACCTATTCAGGCCTGGAAGCCTCCCTGGCTGCTCCGAGTCGATGTTTAGCTGAAGTTGGCAAATGTTAATTTGGGGAACAGGAAGTCTGCAATCTTTCTGGGTCTTAGCATCCTCCTCAGTGAAATGGAGAATGTGTCCTCCCAGGACAAGCGAGGCCACAGGACCAGAAGAGGAACAGGGCCAGCTTTCCTCCCCTTCCCCCAGGGGAAAGAGTCCCCACAACCTGCTGCCTCCACACACCCTTACACACTGAGATGTCAGTGCCACACAAGGTCACCAGGGCTGAGCACCACAAGGCCCTCTGCCCCCAAACCCTGGATGTCCTAACTTGAAAGAATCTACACCACCTCCCAGCCAGGCCATGCCACCTCGATAAAACCTACAGGGGAAAAATTTTTTAAAAAAAATCACAACATGCAACACAAGTCAATCTTTATTGAAAACTGCAGTATTAATACATAACAATTCTGTTACAATAAACGTGCCTTTAAGAATTTTAAATCTGAGCTCATCTACTCATCAGATTGCATAAAAAATTAAAATAGTATGAATTTACACATAATGGAACTGGCTCAGGATGGATGTTCCATTCCTTTGTATTGATTGACACCGTAAGTTCAATGCAGAGGTGAGGGATGCCTTTAACACTGGAAGACAATGCTGACTTAAGCTTAAAAAAAGTACCAAGAGAACGGTCTAAAAAAAGTATTTAAAAATCATTTAAAAAAAAAAAAAAGGAACCATTTCCTAGTCAGTCACAGCCCATGTGGCTCCTTGGGGCCTCTCCTCCATCACAGCAACCCTGCCAGGAGTGCAATAGAGCCTATTTTACTGACCACTAGTCTCCTGAAGCCCTCTGCAGGCTTCCTGAACAGACATCTGCCTCTCCTCTGTCTCCCTGTCCCAAGTAAGTAAACTTTAGTCCTGGGGATTCAAATAAGGTTATCCCTAGGGGGTTTTCTGTTCTTCAAATGAATGGGGGGTGGGGGGGCTGCATGCTAGGGGTGGGGGGAGGAGACAAATCCTCTGAAACATGTAACATCAACTTTGCAACTTTCAACCCAAAAAGATCAGACCCTCCTCTGCAGCAGGTCATCTGCAAGTCTGTTCAAAAAAGTGTGATGCACCTTCAGAAAGCTCAGGCTGAGTAATAAACAGCTCAGGCGAAAAACACACACAAACACTTGAGATGTGCTAGAGAGGAGCTAAGCAGTCTGCCCTTCCCCTGAGCCAACCACACTCCTCTGTAGAGACACCCCCACCCACCCTTAGAAAGCACCAGAGAAGAACCAGAAGCTGCCCCCCACCCTCAAGCCACTCAGCCTTAAAACTGCCCGTGAGCCTGCTGAGGGGTCAGAGAGGCATCCTGTCCTGTCTGGGCAATACTCAGGTTGGCAATGACTGGGGTATCCAGCCATTAGCTGCCAGATAGGGAGAAGGTGGCCCAACTGGTCAGAGAAATACTGTTTCCAACTGTTTCCAAGAACTGAAGAAGTCTGGATTTCCTTTTGGAAGTGGGCCCCAATGATGATGTGGTTGGCATGTGCCACCTTTCACCACCGGCTGGCAGGCACACTCACAGAAACCCGTGTGCCAGAGAGCAGCATAGCCAAAGTGCCTTAAGAATGTATTTCCTCTCATTATAGAAGTGATGGTGCCACCAGATGGAGCAAGGCACTGTATGCCCAGCATGGGAAGGGCAAGATGCTTGCCAACCAGATGCCCAGGCCGAGGCTCAAGACCTCCCTCGTGTCCTGTAAATACTGCATTTGCATAGCACTCAAGAAACAGAGTCACAGAACAGCAACTGGCTGGTCTAATAACCACACCAACAAGAATGTTCTGAAAAGATTTAACACGATACATAAAAGCTTCTGGAAGCGCCTGGCCTCCATGCCTATCACCATGAATGGCCCTGGCCGTGATGTTGGCTTCACTTCACAGAGGCAGCAAGCTGATGGGACCAACGCTCTTCACTAAACACTCAAGTCACCTGGCCCAGATCCTAACAAAATTTCCATAAGCAAAGAGACCTCCTAAACCTTAGCAGAGAGGCTGTAGAACAATTTTTTTTTTTAATACTCATGATAACATTCATGTTTAGAGGAATTAGGTCCTTTGCTTGCCTATCTCCACTTCTGAAAGAACCATAATTCAGCTGAAAGACTCTCAAATTAGGAATGTCACATACAAAAAGAAAAGCAAAGTTTCTCTGAATGTTCCACTATTATTCTTGGGATATCAAATTATGCAAATTTATAACAGAAGTCTATTCCTTAATTAATTTTACTGGAATTAAATGCTGTTAAAATTGCAACCTATGACAGTTTTGCTACTATTCGTATGTCCAGATTCTTACCTGCTAGGCAAGATCTACCTTTCATTATATTTGATAGCTGATGCCCTGATAGGTTCAAAATAGAAGATTTCCAGAGATGTATTCCATTATGCAAAAGTATTTGATAAAGCCTCCCAAAACTCACCTTCACAAAAGGAAAAAAGAGATTAAAAAAAATTATAAGGTGGAAAGTGTTTATGAAGCTGATATAAATGGGGGCAAAATGCAACCCACCCTTCTTGCTCTCAAAAACACCATTTAATTCAGTGCTTGTGAAAACACTCACCCTGTGTGTGCCATGTCTCAAGCAAGCCCAATGAAGCATCCTATATAACTTCTATCTTTCCTCAATTCAAATAACTCCACCCCCTTACATGTAGTTTTGTGTGTGTGTGTGTGTGTGTGTGTGTGTGTGTGCGCGCGTGCGCGCGCGCGCACACCCATTTTGATGTTCAGGGCTTTACTAAAGCATACATTAAAATCGTATTTTCTCCTAATCTATTACACTAAACTGGGGAAACTGACTTTTCTTTTACTTGGTCAGTTCAGCCCTGGAACCCTTAGAACCTATCAGATATTTATTACAATCCATCTACTATACAGATGGAATTACCAACAAAGAGTTGAAGAAGTGGACACAAACCATGTGCCTGAAGTAAATGGTTCACATACATACACACACACACACTGACAAACACACATGTGGGTTAAGTGCTAATGAAGCAATTTAAAGTACTTATCAGTAAGCACACTATGTTAATAGACATTGGGAATAAGGAATCTTCTGTTTACAATGATCCATGCAAAAATATTCCTAAACTTCTTATAAAATAAAATGTGGAAAAAAAAATTATGGGGTACTTACTACAAAAAATAAGGTTACCAAAGGCTCAGGGGTCAGGTCTCCTACTCACCAAATGGAGCCGAATGCCAAACCAGTGCCAGAGTCCTGACCTAGCTGCCAGAGATGTAGGGGCAGGGTCCCCTCCCCAACCAAAGCCCACAACACTTGAAACAATGATGGGGTGAACAGGAGCATACCCCACGCCCACCTGACAGACTGCTGAAAGGGAACAAAACCCTCACCCTCCCACCCCCTCTCTGAACAGACACACACTCCCACTGATACAAGTTGGGCACATTTAGGCAAAAAAATCCTCTTCATTTCTTATGTACAATATTCAGACTTTAAACACAAAATTCTTTCCGAATAAATCCTGGAAGGCAAATGCATTCTGATGCTGCCTGGCCCTTTGATGTCCATACCTGCTTTGTGCTAAGAGCCCTCAGCCACAAGACATGGCAGACAAAGCTCACAGACAAAAGGCACCAGCCCTTCCCTCACATCTCCACAGACCCATCTCCAGGAGCAGCCTCCAAATTTTCTGAGATGACAAGTCCCCAACAGGTGGATGGGCCCAAACATAGCCACAGCCCTGCCTCTCTACAAGAAACTTCAAATAAAGTTTTGTTCCCTTTTAATAGTTCTTAAATATACAACTTTCTTCATAACAGCTGAAATCTTTGCCCTTCTTTGGCGAGGAGGGTGACGGGGGCGGTGAGAACAGCAACGCCTATCTATGTTTTCAGTGGACTGAAACATTTCTTGGGGCGGGGAGGAATGGTTTTCTGTGCTAAATAAAGGAGAAGCCAATACCTCCTACAAGTGTGGCTGTTTCTCCTTCACATGTCTTCCATCCCAGGAAAATAATTTAGTTCTACATAGGACTTTTCCAGTAAAGATACAGAAAACCTCATCTCTATCTGTAAGAGGCTTGTCATGAAAACTTAAATGGCAGAGAAAATTGCTTTGCTGATACACAGACCACCTCTTGCCCCTAGCTATATACTGGCCACACACTCTACACTTTCATGATGATCTTTAAGAATGTCCACACCACAATGCCCCCCAAGACTAAATGGCAAGATAGGGATGCCCAGGAAGTTGGCTGCATCCCCGGCAGTGGTGGCTCTCCCGGCACTCTCCCTGTCCCTGCAACTCTCTCCCCTCGCCGTGCAGTCAGTGTGAAAGAAACAGATGGCTGAAAACTCAAAGTCCACGTTACCAACTGGCAACCCACCTCAACCCCTGAAGAATCATCATCTAAGGGATTTCAGATACTCTATGAAGAAATTCACTTTAACACTTATAACTTTAAGACTCTGCATACATTACAACAGTGCATTAGTGATACAAGTTATAAAATGCTTTTCCATTCCTTTGGGTTTTGCATATGATGGTTTTGCATCAGTCACTGCAGGTAGATTGAGCAAGCTTTGTTTTTGTGTTTGTTTTTTTAGACATGCATTCAACTAGATATGATTCAGAATAGATTAATACTCCCTTTTAATCATTACAGTTAGCTAAAAAATTGCCAGGCAGC